TCCTTAACGAGCTCGGTCTCAGAACGAATTAAACTCGTAAGTCAAGGCCCCACTGTATAATATTTTACACTCTCCTTCATTATAGTACTCATTTACGATTCAACCATGGTTTTATAAAACAGGTTAATGCTTTTTTTAGTGTCATTCTCTGTGTAAAGGCAAACTAGAGTTATAAATCAGAAGCATTAAAAAACCAACATGAGGGAATGAAAAGATAATTCATAGAGTGGAAGAAAATATCTGCAAAACATGTAGCTGATAAAGAACTGGTATCCAAAATACAAAAAGAACTCATAAAAAAACAAACACTGCAATCAAAAAATGGACCAAAGATCTGAACTGACAACCCACCAAAGAAATACAGATGTACAGATGGAAAATAGGCATATGAAAAGATGCTGAACAGCCCTGACTGATGTGGCTCAGTAGGTTGGATGTTCTTCCGTGCACCAGAAGGTTGCTGATTTGATTCCTGAGTCAGGGGCAAAGCCTGGGTTGGGGGCTGATCCCCGGTAAGGGGCGTGCAAGGAGGCAGCTGATCTGATGTTATTCTCACATTGATGTTTCTCTCTCTCTCTCTCCCTTCTTCTCTCTCCAAAAATCAATTAAAAATCTTAAAAAAAAGATATGAACATCTTATATTATAGGGAGCTACCAACAATAATATATTATACATTTAAAATTTTTTCAAGAGGTTACATCTCATGTTAAGTGTTCATATCATAATAAAAGATAGAAAATATCCACGATTTAAAAGAAAACCTCACATGAATTTTTACAGCAGCTTTATTCATAATTGTCAAAACTTGGAAGATATCCTTTAATGGGTGAACAGATAAACAGAATGATGTGCATCCGTACAATTAAATATTATTTATTACTAAAATGAAATAAGCTATTAGCCATGAAAAGATGTGGATGTAACAAATGCATATTGAAAGAAACCAACATGACATTCTGGAAAAGACAAAACTATAGAGATATTAAAAAGATCAGTGGTTGCCAGGGTTCAGAAAGAGGAAGAGATGAATAAGTCAAACTCAGGGAATTTGGGGGGGGAAGGCAGTGAAACTATTCTGTATGATAATGTCATTAACGGCAGATACATGACATACACATATCAAAACCCATAGAGTGTACAACACAAAGAATGAACACTAATGTAAACTATTATTAATAATATATCAATATTCGTTCACCACTTGTAACAAATGTACCACACCAATGCCAAGATAGTGAAGGAGTTATATAGAAACTCTGTGTACATTCTGCTCCATTTTTCTCTAAACCTAAAACTGCTAACAAAAAATAAAGTTTATTAATTAAAAACAAACACAAAAAAGGGCAACATGTAAAAATTCAATGGTTAAGTGCACAGGCTTAGAGACTGTCTACTTTGTGTTTGAACTCATTAATAGCAATGACATTTTCAGCAAGTTACTCTACTCTTCCCTACCACATAAGCTCTAAAGTTTATGATCAATCTTTGACTTAGAAATACTATGGTATAAGATCTAGTATATGTCTTATACAAGCAAGTAGCTAATATATTTGTTAGCTGGACAGGAAACTTCCTAGTTAAAATTTCAACTCCCACCCAGGAACGCGCAAATCTCTGGTTTAATTTCCTAACACTAATTCCTGAGTTATAGAGCTATAATAATAATGAGGACTTTTCTAATTTTTAACTTGTCTCTTATAAATGAATCATCTATCTGCAAATGAACAATTTCCTAAGTATGGACTATAACAAACGAAGACTTTTGCATGGATTTGGAATACAGGGTTGGGCAAAAGTAGGCTTACAGTGTTCGTATGAAAAATAATAATAATAAAAGAAAAAACTCTGTGTTTTGCATACGCATAATTGTAAACCTACTTTTGTCCCACCCTGTATATAATAAAATTTATATTTTCATGGACTGTTTCATACTAAACAGTTGAGAATTTTCAATTTTAATACCACATCTTATCCTTCATGACCTTATGAGATATTTGGGACAGCTACAATCCCCATTTACATTAAATAAACAGAAATTAAGATGATCCCAGCCAAGCTGAGTCTCAATCCTTCCATCATCTGTCTAGTTCTGAGACTCCAGTGGATTTGGAATGATTTCTGAAGTGATGGAACCTGAGCTGTGTGAAACAAGTTGTTTTTTTATTATTTTTTTTTCTAATTAAGGGAGAGATGACAACCTGGCATAGGATAATTATTTCTATTCTTTAAACCCAATTGCAGAATTAATACATTTTATGTTTACTCCTTGCAATAAAATGATTTTTTAAAATCCTCACCTGAGGCTATGTTTATTGATTTGAGAGAGAAAGAGAGAGAGAGAGATCAATTGGTTGCCTCCCTTATGCACCCCAAAGGGGTGATTGAACCTGCAACCTTTTTGGTGCACTGGACAACACTCCAACTAACTTAGCCACCCAGCCAGGGCTCTCCAATAAAAATGATTGTTTGACAAAAGTAAAAACCTGGCATCAGACAATAATTAAAGATTATGATTAATCTTAATCATAATACTACCTTGTTTATTCCAACTAAATTAGGTAGTAGGGCAGATGAATGCAGAAGGAAAAGAGATTTGGAGTGACACCTCTAAAGTCTTTTAAACACTAAAAGTCTCACCAAGCCAGTGTGGCTCAGTGGTTGAGCATTGACCTAAGAAACAAGAGGTCACTGGGTTGGATTCCTGGTCAGGGCAGTGCAGTTAGGTGAGTGCAGGAGGCAACCAATCAATGATTCTCTCTCATCCTTGATGTTTCTGTCTTGCCCTCTCCCTTCCTCTCTGAAATCAATAAAAATATATTAAAAAAACAAACACTAAAAGTCTGCTTTTGATAATCACTCTTAAGTTGGTAAGTAAACTAAATTTCTCTATTGCAAATGCATACTAAAAATGTTTTATTGGGAATAATTTTTAAACCTTAAATAATCCTTCATATATCCTAAATCTAAAAACGTATATAAGACACATAAAGATATTATAGAACTCAGTTCCAGAGTTCAATTATAGTAATAGCATTATTCAAAAGAGCATTTAAGAATCTTTATTATTTACATTTTTATTAAATGACATAGCAATATTTTAAGTTTTAGTTTAGTGTCGCATTACTGTAGTTTAAAGTTTAGAAGTTTTCATCTGCTTCTGAAAACTGATGATTTGGTATCAGACAAAACTGTAATTCTGTTGCTCATACAGCTAGTGATTTTCTTGAGAATATTTAGAACTGGGCAGTCTGATATCCTCTGGAGGGTTAAAGAAAATCATGACCTTTACTCCTTTTCTGAAAACAAATCTGATATTTCACTTTAAAGTGTACACTTAGGCACCTTGGCTTAATTTTGGTGGAGAGTGAGCTCAAAAGTCCATTGAACTCATAACATTACCCTATGAAAGTCACACTGACAGTACATTTGTGCTTGTCTCTAAAACATTTAAATGTTAGCCCAGTAGTACTAACACTAGGCTGTGGAAATGGCAATGATTTAAGCATCCAAGGAAAATGGAAATGGTAAATTTGGTGGAGTTATGTTAGCACTTGGCCGAAGAATGACTTCTAACTTCAACTAAATTAGGCAGTAGGGCAGATAGCAGCATCTGACTACTTTTATATTAAAAACAAGAACAAAAAACCCCACAATATATCTACACATTAAGTGTAGTAATACATGCATGCGTAAAATGAACTTGAAACAAAATTTTACTTATTTAATATATAACGGCCAACTTTGACAAAATCCCACTTTAATGAAATTTACATAATAAGAACATCCTTGAAGTTGCAATAGGTATACTTGTTTATTCCACATCCGAAAATTAAATCAGATTAGAAAAAAATTAAGCCAGATGTGAGCGAATTCAAGATCCTGTAGTGAACTTTTTTGGGGGGAATTTTTCGTTTTGTTAAGTAAAACAAAACAAAACACCATCCCAGTGCATCATTCTACCTTTAAAGTGACAGGATAGGCAATGTGGTATTTCCACGAGTCATCGTGGGGGTGCTAGGGACGCCCACAACACGATGAGCCCCTCGAGCTAATTTTACACAAGGCAGAAAAACTCCGGGCGCTCGAAATAATCTGGTGACTTAGGCGGCACATATGAATGTTAATCATCACGATTAACATTCATATGTGAGGCTGGCGGCAAAGACGCAACTCAGGTCGAGACCCAGGAGAAAACCTGCGCAAATACTCTTCTACCCATATCCAGCGGTGCCACAGCTAACACCTGAGCCTCGGGGTAAGGGTCCGAGCCAGAATCCGGGACGATTCGGTCCGGGCGTCCACCGGGGGCCCGTGTGCACACGTTTCCCCGGCCCACGACCTTTCCCCTAGTTGTCCGTTCTCCGGCTGCGGACGGCCAAGCCCCGGAGGATCCCGGGGTCCACCGCCAGGTGCAGGCGGCGTGACCTTTGTCGTAGGTTGGCTTCGGAAAGCGACCGGAGGAGAAGCGGGAGGAGACAGGTGCCGACAGCCCCCACCTGTGACCCTTTCCCCCTAAACGACTCGACCTTTCCCCGCTAATTCCCCTCCCGAAATGCCCTCTCACCCGGGCAGGACAGCTTGGCTAGTGGCACCAACATGTTCGCTGTCATCGGGACTCTTCGTCGGACACCAGCGGAAGGAGGACTGCCAGTGGCTCGCCGCGGGCGCTGGACCTCTAGGCCTCGGGGGGCGCCATTACCTGCCGGGAAGCACCAACCCCTCTGCTGAAACCTGCCTCTCTGCTCAGCCCACCTCACAGGCTTCAAGGCGTTCCCGCCTCTTTCTCGTTCTGCGCCGGCGCCACGCGTGACGCAATGGCCAGCCGAGGCTTCCGGGTCGTGTCCCGCGGCCTGTGGTGGTGGATTGAAGTTGTCCCGACCATCTCCCAAGCCCCATGGTGCACCGCGCACGCAGCCAAAGGCAGCGAGAAGCGAAGCAAAGCGCACGGCATCCTGGGAGTTGTAGTCTTCTGCTGAAGAGCCTGGTAAGCCCGTAAGGAGCTTTGCGCTGGAGCAGCGAGCTGCCCACGGTGAATCCACTGATATCTGATAGGCTGTCCTGAAAAAATGCCGTTTTCGGTATTGGGCAGACGCCCACAGGAGACGGGGCGGGATTTTGGGGGAGAGGAGGCGGGGCCTCTGGCCTTAGGGCGCGAGCAGTTGAAAGACGGTTGGTGTCGGTTCCGATAAGTTCCGATTCGGCCGTCCCAACACTTCTCCATGGCAGACCCCGAGGAGGCGCGGGTTTCTTCGCAGCCCCCGCCACCTTCCTTCTCTCCCTCGTCTTCTGAAGCCTCTTCCACATCTTCCCCCGGCATCCCAGTGAGTTTGGACTGGCCAGTTCCGAGCAGGAGCCCAACGGTGGACCGGCTGGAGGAAGTGGAGCTGCAGATCGGAGACGTGAGTGGCGGGGACAGGTGCCCCGACCGCGTCCCCAGCCCGCGCTTGTTGGCAGACAGACCGCGGCGGGGTCCGGGAGCGAGGGGCTGGGAATCCTAACGCGCAGAAGGACGGAATCCGCCTTTAGATTTAGCTTGGGGGAATTAGGGGGTGCCCCCACCATCCCCATCCCTCCGTCTTTCTGCCTCGCCTTCTGGTTCCCATCATCCCTGTAACCCGAAACCACGCGCTCTGCTGCCAGGACTGTGCTGGCTCTGCCTGCCCCCCCTCCACCCCCCCCCCCCATCCTCCCCCCGTGCTGTCTGTGGGTCAGGCTGGGACCTCTTCCTCCGCGGGACCTGAGAGCCCGCTGTTCTGGTTGGCCACCTGCCCAGAGCCAGCTGACAAGGCTGTTGTCTTTCTCAGGCTGGCTTCCCGCTGGACCCAGTTTGGAGGGGTTAGTCCCCGCCCCGTAGCCCAGATTGTTTCATTTAACGGTTCTGGGAATCACAGGGAGGGATCTTTGACTGGTTGGTTTCTGTTGAATCTCGAATTTCCAAAAACTAATGCCCCTGTGGGAGGGGGGGCACAAACACACATCCCTGACACCCCGCCCCCACACACACACTTTTGACCCCCCCCCCCCCCCACACACACACACCTGAAACCGAAACACATAAGACATCATCGGAGGGGATCACCGTTTCCGTATTTAAGGACTCCTGAGTGGGTCAGGAAGAATGAAGTATTTAGTGAATGAGGTGTGGTCTTCCTGGGAGACGTTTGTGGAATAGACCCGCCTGTGCAGATTGGAAACTGGGGAATGAACTGGATTATATCATGGCTCAAGTATTTGTGTGTGTGTGTTTTTTTAATATATTGATTTTTTACAGAGAGGAAGAAAGAGGGATAGAGAGTTAGAAACATCGATGAGAGAGAAACATCCATCAGCTGCCTCCTGCACACCCCCTACTGGGGATGTGCCCACAACCAAGGTACATGCCCTTGACCGGAATCGAACCTGCGACCCTTCAGTCCTCAGGCCGATGCTCTATCCACTGAGCCAAACCGCTTAGGGCCTGATGTTATTTTTGATGCCGGCTAATATTTGCTTAATCTTCTGACTAAACTTTCATAGAATCTTTTATGAAAATTAATTTCATCAGTAGACAAAAATACCACAGTGTTACTAGGAGCAAACGAGGTAGAACATTATTTTATTTGATTTGCAAGAAGATGGCAAGAATGGCAGAGTTTAAAGTTACCAAAGAAGGTACCTTTAAGGTTAGTAATGTTAGATCCAGCTCCATTAGGCTAACTTCTCTAGACCAATCCCCAGCACCTAGGACAGTGTCACATAAAAGAGTCAACTTCATTGACTTGAAGGAAAACTTTTTTTTTTTTTATGGAGATTTGAACTTTTACTGATGACACCTTTTTAAAATATATGCTAAATATTTTTTGCCCTCTAGGATGCTTTTTAAAACAGCTTTTACTTCAGAAAATGAAAGCATGTATAGAAAGAATGCATATTTCCCCCCATGTTTATTTCTAAGATTAACTGCTTCTACAGATAATATTTCTTGCATTCCATGTTGTTAGGTCTTTGATTGTTCTCTTTAAAGTGCCTTATCACAATTATGGCTCTGTACTAACTATTACTTTTGGAGCTTTGTAAGTAATAATTCTTAATTCTAAATATAATTTTAAAGAAGTTATTGTTTTTAATGCATCAAATTTAAATGATGTGATTATTTTCATATTATTTGACTTTATTGACAATGTTTTATTTTACTTGTCCTATAGCTTATGTTGCTTTCCTCTCTCTCTCTCTGGTTGTTTGTGTCATATGTCAATGATTAAGCCCACTAATTCTCTACTATGTAACTCTGGACATCTTTGATATAGCATCTTATTCTTTGTAGTTATGGAGATGTGTACAAAACTGAATTCTAAAACTCCACAATGGGGCTATGAAAGGGGACAAATGGATGGGCAAAAAGTTTTGTTTAGCATATTAAGTCATAGTACTTGATTAATTTTTTTAAAGTTAAAGATAACACATGGTATGTACCTGTACCATAGAGATGCTTATTTTGATATTAGAAAATATTTTTTATATATCATGAAAATTGAAATTAAAATGTACAAAAATAAATTTGTTAAAAGCAAATTTCCATTTTCTTGGGTTCATTACTCTAAAATTTTTTATTGAAATATTTTCAAACATAACAGGAAAGGTGAATGATCTAATGGACACCAATGCATTTCCACCATACAGATTTAATAAATGTTAACATTTGGCTATATTTTCTTCAGATCTGTGTATGTATAGAAGTTACTCTATTTGGAGAGGTGGAAGGATGGAAGAGTGAGTGAATTAAACAGAAAACCAAATGGCTTCCAGAAAAACATTTGAGAACATTTTAGATGTTAACAGGTAGTTTCAGATGTATATTTTTATAACTCACAGCAATTCAAAGACGCTTAATACTAACAGAATTTCTAAGACTCACAATCTTAATTTTCATAGGAATACATTTTATCTATTATGTCTTCATGATTACTGCTTTTTCTTTTCTAGATACTCTTTTTAAGAAAAATAATTTTCCATTCCATTATTCAATAATAGTAATACTACTTTAGTAATAAGACTCAGTTGGTTAGACCGTCCTCCTGATATGTCAAGGTTGCAGGTTTGATCCCAGTCAGGGTACATACAAGCATAAACCAATGAATGCATAAGTAAGTGGAACAACAAATCAATAAAAATTTAAAAAAATAATCAAGAGGTGTTAAAAAAATAGTAAAATTTAATAAATAATCCAAACAAATAATTTAAATGTATTTGTACTTTTGTAAGCTTTTTAAAAAATTAATAATCTAAGTAGTTAATTTAATATTATAAGCAGAATTATAGCTTTCTATTTGATTTTTATTGAAAGTATACCACATTCCTCATGCAGAAAAACTGGAACCATTTTAAGAGAACAGAAAGGACTCAAAGCAATCCATATTTTTAATAGAATTAATTTTCAGGTAATTTATTTTCAAAATAAACCTATACAATTATATACTCAATAAATATGTTTTTGAGTCCAGTATTTTCATGTTTCAAACATTTTTGTTGTAGTTAAAACTACTTGAAAACATTTTATTCCTTTTTAAAGGTTTTAAATTCTGAAAGCATAAGATTCCTATAGCTCAGAGACCAGAAGAATTAACTAGCAAAAAAGTAGCATCTTAAGATCTGGTTGGCCGTGCAAACAGGAGGTGAATCCATCTCTTGATGACAACTATTTTGTCTTTAGAGCAAAACATGTACTTAGATTTTTCCTTCCTGAAGTTAAGTTCCTGAATGTACATTCTAGCTCTTCTTTCTTTTCTGTTTAACTGCTTTATTGAGATATAATTCATGTCTCCATAAAATTCGCCAATCTAAAGTTTATAATTCAGTGGCTTTTAGTATAATCGCAGTTATTTATCCATTACCATAATCAATTTTAGAACTTTTTCCTTTGCCCAAAAAAGATATTCTCCACTTCTTAAGCATCACCCTCCCAACCCTCCCACCCCCAGTAAACTCTAATCTTTCTGTCTCTATGACTTCGCTTATTCAAATATTTCATGCAAGTGGAATCATACAGTATTTGTCCTATTGGCTGGCTTATTTCACATTCATCATGTAGCATGTGTCAGAACTTAATTCCTTTTTATGGCTGAATAATATTCCATCACATGTATAAACTACATTTTGTTTATCTGTTCATCAGTTGATAGGCACTTGGGTTGCTTCCATATATTGACTACTGTTTGTAATGTTGCAAAGAGCACTTGCATGCAAGTATCCGCGTCCTGTTTTCAACTCTTTGGTTCATACCTAGGACTGAAATTGCTGGAGCATATGGTAATTGTATGATAAGCTTTTGAGTTAATATCAGAACATTTTTTTTTCATAGTAATAAATACATGTTGGCTCTAAAGTGTATGAAGACTTGAAGAGAGTTAAGATGAATTCTTAAAACAGAATATTTTGCAAACAATCAGACATTTTCTCTGATGCTATTATACTGTGTATTAAACCCTTATTTGAAAGTGTCCATGATATGCATGACAGATAAAGCTCTACCTTAACATAGGAGCTGCAGATGCACTATGTATATTTGGTTGTAGACAAAATTTAACATTGAACATTGAGAAGGTTCTATACTGTCTACTTCCAGGAATTTACTGCAGTGCCATGCATATAGTGGGTACTCAAGAAATGCAAAAAGAATGAATGGCCTGACTGGTGTGGCTCAGTGGTTGAGCGTCAACCCATCAGTTCGATTCCCAGTGAGGGCACATGCCCGGACTGTGGGTTTGATCCCCAGTGGGACTGTACAAGAGGCAGCCAGTTGATTATGTTCCTCTCTCATTGATGTTTCTATCTCTCTATCCCTCTTTCTACCCCTCTCTCTCTCTCAAAAAAAAAGTCAATAAAAACATTTTTAAAAAAGAATGAATCTTTCTGAAGTAGATTTTTCTTAAATTTCCTATGCAAAATATGTGCTAGTATATATATATTATCAAAATAATTTATTTCCCTAATTTATCTTAGCCATTAATGTAAATTATTAATTTTGTGGCATTCATTTTATACTAATAAATCCATTTTGAAGCATCCCAATGGGGGTCAGAGTCAGTTATGAACAGGAATTGAGTCTAGTTGATTTAGAAATTAGTGACAATTCGTAGGAGTCTGTGAGACGAGCTGGCTTCATTAATCTAGGTGGCATCTCCTGCAGCGGCCACATTTCTGTCCACATGAGTGATGGAGTATATGTTTTCCGGCTTCTTTTGCTGCCAGTAGATCTTTGTCTGTAGTTATTCCAATACTGATGGATTGTTTCTTTGAATGGTCTTGTAGTCAGAGTATAGAGAATTGGGTTCAAAGCACTGTTGATAGGCAGAATAAAAATCACTACCCAAGAGGTTATGGTACCTGGAAGAGAAAAATGACATAGTTTAGTATTTATGGATGTTTGCAAGTTATAGAAACCCCTTTCCCTTCTTTGTACCTCAGCCTCTTTCAAGTGTTTATTTTTCCATTAGGTTGTCACATAATTAAATACCAAGTCTATATGTGTTTCCAGGGTATCTTTCCAATGTGCCAGTGTTTGAGGGGAGTGTTTGTGCTACAAAAAACCAGGGTTCATTGCTAAATAGCTTTTCTTGAATACATCAGAAACTATTCTATAAGGTAGAAATATTTCCCATCAAA